TTGACCCGCCCGCTGAGGTGCCCTTTGCCTTGTCTGTGCACTGCAGTGCCGGGCATCTGGGCCCGCTCTTGTTGCCCGGGCCTGCATTTCTGGGGGTGGGGTGGGGGACTGCTTCGTGGCAAAGTCCCCCACCACCACCATTGTCCACTGTGAGAGGTCAGAACGTCCAAGACTTCGTTGTCTCCCAATCCGTGGCTTATCTTTGGATTCTCTTAGCAGGGCCCCTTCAGGGCTGCCATCTGTCCCTGGAGCTCCCTTCTGTCCATCGGGAAGCCCCTCACACTGAGCTCTCTGGGGGGCAAATGGTTTCTTCTGCATGTGGGTGGTGGTGCAGGCAGGTGGGCATGTGTTGGGCAGTGAGCACAAGGCTGGCAGTCCGAACCCACCAGCCTCTCCATGGGCGACGGCTGTGCCGTCTTCTCTCAGAAAGAGCCGGTGTCTCGGCAGGCAAGCCTCTGCAGACACGGCAGAAACGACCACGCCATACGAAGGGCCTCCACAGGAAACCCCCATCACCCTTCCACCCATCTCCCCCCCCAGTCCCTGGAAGCCCCGGCGCTCGGCGACATAGATCAGGACCACCGCGGCCAAGCCTAGTTCCACCGTTTTGAGATGGTTTGGGCAGTCCACGGGCAGGGAGGGGGCAGCTGGGAAGCCAGGCAGGTTCAGAAGAGGCAGGGGAGCAGGGTGGTCACCGTTCTCGTGGGGCAGGTCTCTGCAGGAAGCAGAGACGCTCCAGGAAGATGTGGCCCCGGGTGGGCCGTACTGATGAGGCTGTGAGGCACTCGATGGCTCACGCTGCCAGGGGTGGGACGTCCAGAACACGCCACCCCTCACCTCTGGGCATGCGGTCAGTGGGGTCCAGGCCCAGGCTGAGGGTCAGGGAGAAAGAGGAAGGCCGTCTGTGCAATGGGTGGACACCAGGGCTGCAGCAAGGGGCTTGGAATGGGAAGGGTGTGAGGCTCAGGGGAGACAGTTCTGCGGGCATCCCACCGGTCCCTGGGCCTTGGTTCTGGCCAGTGTCCTCCTCTGTCTGTTCTTTGCCCCCTCCACCCCCACCCGTGCCACCAGACCGTGTTGAGTTTGTGCACACGGGGTCTCCGGGAATCGGGGTGACAGGGCCAGGCGGAGCAGAAGGAGTAGAGGCCTGTTTGCTTACCCAGCCAGACTAACAGGAGCAGGGCTTTAGCCTCCATGTTGACACCTACTTTGGGTGGCCAGGTACATGGCCCAGCACACAGCCCTTCACTGAACCGCACCTTGTCCCATCGGCCCTGGGCTTGGGCTCATTCGTGGGAGTTTGTGCCGGTCCCCCCGGGGGCCAGGAGTCTTTGAGGCACGTCCTTCACTGGTTTCTGTTGCTCTACTTGTCTGGCTCCGGCTTTGGGGCGACGCTGGCACGAAGCGGGAGAGGTGGGCACAGGCTTCTCTCTGCCTGTGGGAGAGCCATGCGGTGAGTGTTCTTCTTCAAACAGAGCTCCCTCCCCAGAGGAGACATCTGAGCCCAGATTCCTTTGTGGGGGAGAAGGCTTTAAATCACGCGTTCAATTTCTTTGCTTGCCCTGGGTCTGCTTAGACCCATCCGGGCCTCATTTCCTCCTGGGTCAACTCCTATAAGACAGGTATTAATTCTTGCCTAAATCACCGGCCGTGTCGTGATTGAAGCTGCATGGGCCTGCAGTTTCCGTGGTCGGGGGACTGGCCTGTGGGCCCGGGAGAGACGCGTTTCTCAGGCCACAGCCCGACTTTAATACCATGCCATACTGGGGGCTCTCTTATTCGTCTTTAGTGAATTTAGGGAGTGTGTGTCTCTCATGGGTCCTCCCCCCAACCTGAAAGACCCCCACCCCCGGACTGCGGCACAAAGCACAGCCTGGTCTGCGCTGCCTGCAAGCCATGAGGGGCTTGGGCCCTGGTTGGGGGTCACTGGGTGTGATTTCAGCCCCACCCCCGAGGGTCTCCCCTCCAAGCTCTCTATCAGACGATGCTGTTCAGGGACCCCGGAAAGACCTCACTGGATACAGTTCAGAAATTGACCACCCTTCTTTTCTCTCCCAAATCTGCCGTAGTTGGGAAGCTCTGGGGGGCTGTGCTGGGCTCCGGGGCACCAAGAAGCCACGGCCATACAAACAGGTGGTGGCTTTGTCCGTCTGTCTGTCTGTTTCCCTGGTGCCCCTGGAATTTTCACGTCCAGGATCTGGGTCTTGGAAACGGTGTCGGGAAAATGTGACCCATTGAACAGAGGCAGGTGAGACACCCCCGCCCCCCAAGACGGTGGTCCTTCGTCCCCCCCCCACCTCAGATCCGGAGCTGAGCTCCCCCTGTGGTCGAATAACCAATCAGTTAAGATCAAAGCACGGTCGTGACCCCACATCAAAGCCCCAAGGGCAGGAGCCTGCAGACGGGCCGGGGGGAGTGGGAGAAGACACGGCGGCCGGAGCTGCCATGGACGGTGGGAGCAAGCCAAGTATGGAGGCCGCATGGGAGCTGGATGGGGTGCTCTGCTAACCTCCCCTTGTGCCAGGGCACCAGCGCACTCATGGCCCTTGGATCAGTCCGACTCACAGCGACCGACACACACACACGGAAAACGGAAAAGATGTGGAGGGCAAGGTCCATACATGTTCAAAGGAAGGAAGATGATGGGCAGGGCCGGGGCCAGAGGGAGGACACAGAAGACACCGGGTCAAGAAGACAGGGAGGTAAGTTGGGGGTGCAGCGTGGGGTACAGCTGCCAGCCCCCAACTCACAGGGGCTGTGTCTGCAGCACACATGGCCCCCTCCCCAGGGCCTGTCCTGAACAGCAGGAATCCAATTAAGGAGCGGGCAACATTCGAGAAGCTGCAGCATTTCATTAAAGCAGGGTCAGATGAGGCTGGCAGATTAACCATGAAAAGATGTTCTGCGTCCCCGGGCATTAACGGGGTGCAACCTGAGACGGCAGAGGGATGTCACCCCACACCTATTAGAGCCTCGGAAATGAGAAATGCAAAGTGTGCACCGGGGTGCACCCGAGCTGGCAGGAAGCTCGGAAACCGGACCCGTGCACAAGGCGGGTGGGAATGTGCAGCTAGTGGGGCCACCGCTCTGGGAAAGTTTGACAGCCTCTTAAAACACTAAGCACGCACTTAGCTGAGGGGCCAGCCCGTCTTCCCAGGCCTGCTTCCCAGGGGATGAAGACTGAGGTTCACACGGGGCCCTGTGCACAAACACGCTCAGCCCACACTGAGAATAGCTGACAGGGCACAGCCGAGTCTCTGCCGGACACTAACCAGATGCCGGCTGGGGTCAGAGGGGAGCGGGTGGGGCTGGGTTCTCACCAGTGGGTTTCCAGGCCCTGCTGCCCAGGGTCTTGAGCCTGCGGCCAGTTGGTCGGGTGCCTCCAGTGGTGCCTGTCCCTCCTTGAGACCCCCACTCACTAGTCAGAAGCATGGCCTGCTCATGGCAGCCGGGCGGAGGTGCTTGAGCTGACCAGGGTTCTGTCCCCTAGGTGTTGTCGGGGGCCTTTGACGGCCAGTGCCCTGACATGCAACACAGGGAGACCCCGCCTGGGCCTGCGTCCTCCTCACCATATTGTTGCTGTGTCTGAGCCCAGCCTTGTGGCCATGGTGTCTGCCCATCCATCCATCTCCTTGACGGCCCTCCTCTCCCTCACTGCCCCTCCACTTGGCCACGCGTGATGTTATTCACTAGGGACTGGTCTCTCCTGACCACATGTCCACAGTACGTGGCATGGCTCATCCTCCTCCCTGCTCAGGAGCCCTCCAGCTCTGTCTCCTCCAACACCACAGGCCTGCGTGTCCTCTCTGAGAGCACCAGGAATTGTGTTTCCCATTTCCCCCTCTTGGTAGGAAGTTTTAAAATGTCCTGTAACTCCATGACACCCCCCCCCCCAACTCCCTGCCAGTGAGCCGATGCTGACTTATGGCCATCCTGCAGGACAGAGAACAGGCCCCTCTGTGGGTTTCCCAGACTGCAACTCTCCACGCGAGTAGAAAGCCTTGTCTTTCTCCTGCGGAGCGGCTGGTGGTTTCGAACTTCTGACCCTGTAAGGGCAGCCCGCCACCTACTCCACTGTGCCAGCCACCAAGGCTCCTCGGGACGCCATGGTCCTTGCAAAGTTAGACTAAAAGGATCCTTGCTGGCATCGGAGAAAAGGGAGTCCGCTGCTCCCTGCCTTTTTCGCCCCCAAAGAAAGAAACCACAGGTGAGTCTCGTCAGCTCTGCAGGAGCTGGGGACAGGGAAGGACTGGCCAGGAACTGGAGGGACCAAGGTGGGCCTGAGCAAGCAGCCCTGTGTTTTCCACTCTGAGAACAATGACATTGAATAAAATCACACTGTGCTGCTAGGTGCCATCCACTTGAACACCACACGCCCTTGCCCAGTCCTGTGCCACGTTCACACGGTGCCCATTGTTGGAGGCCCTGGCTGGAGCATCCAGTGTCCACCCCTCTTGATACAGGCCCCCTCCTTTTACTCTGACCCTCTGCTTGATCAAGCATGGGCGGCCTTCCCCGGGAACCGGCCTCTCCTGACAAGACATCCACAGCACGTGAGTCTCGCTGCACCAAGGACATTCCAGCTCGGAGAGAGATTCCTTGTTTCCTCTGGTGGCTCGTGGTCCTTTCTACAGTCTTCACCAGCCCCAGAATCACAGGCACCCAGGCCTGTCGACAACCCTCCTCCCCCGGGCCCGGCTGCCCCGTGTGCCCCCATGCACGGAGTCTGTGGGATTTGGAGCACCACGCAGGGGCTGGCACCCTTTAACCCTGGCTTGGAGCCGAGTGTGGTGGAGTCAAGGACGTGCTGTTGGCAAGGGTCGGCCCCTGGAAGAGGACTCCGTGCTCGGTGAAGTCGAAGGTGAGCAGAGAAATTGGGACAGCCTGGGCCACGTGAACACAGTGGACGTCACAGTGACTTGGAAGGGAGTCCCGGGCACCGGCCCACAAATACCACTGAGATGGGACACACGGGAAGCAGGTCTGTGGCTCGCACGGACAAGGCCCCCTGCCCACCACGGGGGCGCCTGCCGAGGAAGGGCAGGTGGGAGCCGTCAGCCAGCTGGGCAGGAAAGCTGAGTGCGTGGTGACATGAGGTGAGAGGGCCCTGTTCTCAGGGCTGCCCTGCCACTCAGTGCCCAGCAGGCCTGGGGAATGAGGCACAGGTAACCTGCCCTGGGCGGCTCACGCTCTCCAGAGAGAGCAGAGTGGTGGGGAGAGCAGAGTGGAAGGCCTCCTGTGACCCATGGGAAACAAATCACCCTGGAAAGCTGTGCCAGCAGGGGTGGTCTGTGCCCCCCCTGTGGACCCAGGGATCCAGTCTCACCCACCTGTCCCACCACCACCACCATGGTGCACGTGGGACACGTACGTCCCACTAATCCTATCAAAGGCCCCCGAGGGCAACCCCTCCCTGAAACACACCAGCCCCCAGTACGGAAGGCAGAGCAGAGACTGGGTCGGTCACAAAGGGGTTAATCGGCATTTTCCAGCTGAGCGAACACGCGATGCCTTTTCCACTTGTGTCATTTAATTACCAAATGTTTTCATTTTTCAGAAGACCCGAAATTGCACAGATCTGTGGGATTTAGTGGAGGAATGTGAAGGCCAATTTCGCCTAATTACACGATGTCTCTGGGCCCCCTGACGGGTCCCAGAGCAGGAGCCGCAGGCCCGTGGGCCCCCGGGGGGGGCGTGGGGGCGGACACAGATGTTTACCTGATGTCCGGGCCGGAGTCTGGTTTGCATTGGGAAATCAGACTGTTTACAGGACACACACGGCCCACTCCCCACACTCTGGGTGACAGTCTGCAGGTCCCTCGGATTCCTGGGGACGCCCACCATGTCACGCCACTAGGGCAGCCACCCCTGGGCCTCGACTGGGTCCTCACCAGCTCAGGGATGACCACTGGGCAGGGGCGGTGGACAAGGGGGAGGCTCTCACGCCACCCCCGGACCCCGCCTAGGGACACGTCAGCTCACACCACCCCTGGACCCTGCCTGGGGACGCGTCAGCTCACACCACTCCTGGACTGTCACTGGGGACACGTCAGCTCACTCCACCCCTGGACCGTCCTTGGGGACACGTCAGCTCTGGGCTGACCTCTAGGGGGCAGAGGGCACCAAGGTAGAGGGGACTCATTCATGGCAACCCTGGGCCCATCAGCTTGGCATGGCCACAAGGGGGCCGGGAAGAATTGGGGACTCACACCATCAACCCAGGCCCCCCTAGCAGGGCAGGCAGGCCCCTCTAGGCCTGAAAATGGTTGCAGGGCTGGCCGATGCCCCAGGTGCTGGAACCTCTGTCTGATTCTGAATGACACGGGCTCGGAGCGTGGGCTCTGGGGGTGGTGAATGCCCACAGTCGCCTAGAACCCTGCTGCTGGGGCCCGAAGCCCCAGACCACCCTAAGCACAGAGGCCCGTCAGGGAGGGGAGTGTGGGCATGGGGCAGGGGACACAGGGACACAGGGCCTGAGTAGCAAAGGCCTGGTCGGGGAGGCCCTGGGCAGGGACAGGTCCACAGGGGGTGTGTGTGTGGAAGGGGTACAACTGGAGTCCAGTCTGGAAGGCATGAGCTTCGGCCCATCCCAAGGACACTGCCCAGGCTCAGGCCTCCGCCTTGCCTATGAGAGCCCGTCTCTGGCCACCTCTCCTGCCACAGCCCCCCCGCATGTCCTCTTGAGCCCGAGTTTCCGGCAGGTGGGCTGGGGAGCATCAGGGGGTCCTGCAGGACAGCTGGGTGGCCTGCAGGAGGGACGAGGGCCAGCTGTCCCTTCTCCAGAGTGAGGCTAGCTCTGGCCCCACCATCACTAGGTGTCCCCCTCAGTACCGGTCCCCAACCCCAAGTTGCCCCCTCCACCCAGTGGCCATTTGCCTGTTGTTCTTGCCTGAACCCCCTTACTGGGATCTGAGTGCCACAAAGCAGGGGTGAAGGAGGGGTGGCCCTCAGGGTGACTCAGCAGGGAATGAGGCACCCTGGGGCTCTAATGGGGCCCCTGCCTGCTGGGACAGGATGATTCAGGAGTGGGAGGAGAGAGGGCTG